CATTCTTTGTTTTCATTCTTTGTTTTCGTTTTTCGTTTCTATTCTTTGTTTTCGTTTTTCGTTTCCATTCTTTGTTTTCGTTTTTCGTTTCCATTCTTTGTTTTTGTTTTTCGTTTCTATTGTTTGTTTTTATTGCGGGATACTATTAAATAATGGGTTTTCTGACTTATAACTAGTCATGGTAGAGATTGCAATATCCGTTTATGTATACGTTGAAGTAAGGTTTTTACCATACTTTCTCGAACGCGCAAGCGTGGCAGGATGTTCTGATGTATCACAAAAGTGTGCTGGCTCCTTCCGATTTTCGATACTGCATGGTAAGCTTCTGAAACCGCTCCTGTGTGTACATGTTTCATTTTCGCACGAGGATTTACTTACGTTTACCGTGAGCGTATAAAAGTAATTCCGATAATTGTCGTGATTGATCAGGAGCAGGGCGTAGCTCTTATTGCTGAAAAGATCTTGTCCGTGATGAAAATTTGCCAAGAAGATAAGATGAAGATTACAGTGTGAAAAAATTTTTTTGAATTCATCACATTTCATTCGTTCGTCACCCCCTATTACGTACCACGACTCCGCTGCCCCTGGTAAGTGCCCCTGCTACCATCATGGCTTCCTCTTCTTCTTCCTCTCTTCGTGGGAACAATGCGGGTCTTTTCCTGCCCGCGTGGTCCGTAAAGGAGGGGGACGAGCAACGGGAGCAAGTGTGCGACTTTCTCTGGGACACCGACCAGGAATGCGGGTTTCTGGGGTCGCCCTGGAACGAGCACGAGCGCGCGCCGGCTTGGTACCGCAGCCCGTGGTCGGCGAAGTATTTCCGGGGCCCGCATTCCTTCCGCGAGGGCCGGTTGGTCAGCGTGGCGGAGAACGAGGAACGACCACGGGAACGCGTGGACGAGTTGCTGGGACACATGAGAAGTACGGAGCAGGAATTCAACGATCTGTTCTCTAAATACGTCGATTACTACTATGGCAAGGACGCTGCGGTCAGCACGGTAATTCTCTGGGCCCCGCACCAGCAGCAGAATTTTAGCAGCAGTACGTCAACATCAGCGGGTACGGCAACAAGTACAACGAGAATGGGGGCTGGTGGCGCGACCACAGGTTTTAATCCTCATCATGCGCCAGCCGCGTCAGGGGACCAGCGCAACATGAAGCTGAAAAACTCGTTTTTCCTTTCCGCGAGCGTGCTCGACCCGGAGGAGGACGCTGTGCTCGAGGGCGTCTTTCTAGTGAAAAAACTGGAAACCCACCCCGAAAAGGACCTCGTTCATCGTTCTGCTGAAGATGTGCCTCCATCGCTGCAAGATGGAGGCCGCGGAGTAGAGAGGAAAAATATTTCATCATCGTCTTCTTCGCAAGTAGATGTTGAAAATGTGGTACAACATGAAAATAAATCCGTTGAGTGGAACGCGATCCACCGTATCCGGCTCTCCGAGCTTTCAGCCAAGAAGCTCCTCCACGCGGCGACGCAAACCACCTCGGTGTTCCGGGTGTGGACCTGCGTGATCCTGACGCACAGCACGAAACAGGAAAAGGCGGGCCAGGTGGTGCAGCGCACCCGGGAGGAGAAGCACCGGAAGGGGAAGCGGGTGGAGATTTTTGGGAGGATGGTGGAGAACATCGAGAACGAGATCCGAAACACGCTGGAGAGTGTGTATCTCCCGAAACACCAAGATTTGCTGCTGCAGGAGCTGAATTGCATGGGGCCGAACCTGCAACAGCAGAAAAGCCAATTGCGCTCTGAGTTGCAGGCCAAGCTCGTCCAGGACATGATGATCGTGGAGCAGGATGATGAAAAGGAAGATTTCCAATTATGAGGATTTCTTGCAAGGTTTTTGTTTTTGATAATCGCGGACCACAATGCTAAGAATCGCAGTCGCCTCTTAGTTACGGGTGGAACGGTAGCAAAGCAGCAAGTTGATCATCCTGGCGTCGCTTTGCAGAGTGTGATTTGCTTCGCACTTGTTTTTTTTTCAGTGCTGCAGCGTGTTCGTGACTGCCAGATCATCAATGAAGGACAGGAAGCGAAAGCAGCAAAAGTCACAGAATAAGAAACCCGACTCATGTGTGTATTGTTTCGCTGAAATACTTCTCTTCACCAATTTTTCTACAGGAGAACAGACGGAGCCGTGCTTCCACTCTACTCGGTTCTGCTTTTCTTTGCTGTGGTCTTTCCATGCACTTTCTTCATCAATGAACAATTCTTTTCAAAACACACAAAAATTCACCATGAAGTTGTGAAAGTGTAAATCTCGTAAAGTGTAGTAGAAATAACCCTCAAACGTGATCAAACATGTTGCTCCGCCAGCACGCCTCGGGCTTGCTTGTCGCAAGCCTTTCTCTACTGCTGCTATTCAGCGCTACAGACTGCGGCGCAGCTGCTTCCATCGGGGCCCCGAACCTAGCATCGGGCGGGACTTCCACGGAGCATGATGAAGTAGAAGAGCTCACTGCTAAGGCAGCCTCAGCAGACGCCGAGGACAGCGAGCCGGATATTTATTTCAATCCAAAACTGAATATTACGAACCAGCTGGAACAAGCTAGGCGGGAAGAACCATGCGGGTTGTCTACTACTTCAACGGAGCTTCCAGTGGTGAGTTCCAGAACAGGTGACTTATGTCGCAACAGGACGAGCATCTTGGGACGAGGACCCTCGTCGTCCACATTGGGATCTTCCCTACGCGATCTCCCCGAAATAGGCACGCCAGGAGAACAACCTGCAGCGACTGCAGCGAGTGCGGCGTCAGCCTCTATTTCCGGAGCGTCTTCCTCCGCCGGCAGCGTAGGTAGTGCTGGGAGCGCTTCTTACAGTTTTCCGGCTTTTAAGCGACATCCTGTAGGAGTTGTTGCGAGGAGAAATACTAATAAAGATCGACAAGGCCGCGCCGAAGAGTCGATTCCGTGCGAGAAGCTTCGTGGATGGGGTGACATCTTCTTGCAGAATCGTTTCTCCTCATCCGTGCCGTCACCTGGCACTGGTCGTCTATTGACCATGAGGAGCCAGAGCAGGACGGAGGACTTTCACGCCAACATCGATTGCGGCAGGATGAAAAAGGACTACAGTAAGGATTTTACGCAGACCATTGCAGCCGAAGATGAAGATCATGCTTTCGCAAATAAAGTAGCCGCGGAAATGAACGAGCATTTCGACGTTTGGATGCAAAAGCAGAGAGAAGCGGCCAGCACTCCCTCGAGCTCGAGCACCAGTAGGCCGATGGGTGGAGCGGGTAAAACTACGGAAAATATCAGAGTGCCAGCTCCTGCTGCACCGACGGCGCTCCAACCCGACGCACAGGAAGCAGTAGGCAAGCGACCTCCACTACTAGCACAGCAGGATATAATGTCTACCATCACGATGGAGGACGGTATTGCCGGTCTTAACCTGTCACCAGCCGAGGCGGCAGCGAATCAAAATTATCCCCAGAACGTTAACAAGGAACAGTTTTGCTGCGAGGCACTGTTGCGGTGTTTTGACTGCGGGCTGTGGAAATTTTTGTGCGTAAAGATGAACGATAAACGGCTGAAAACCTTGGCCGCCTACAAGGAGCAAGTACGAAGAGGGAAAGGAACAGCGGAAAATAGTAGAGATCACCGAGATCATCGTTGTGAGGCGGTAGGCGCGCAGAACTACTACGCTCGTCATCGTCGAGAAGACCACGACCAGCACGAACCACGACTGAGGCGCGGGTCAACAAGCGTACTACCGTCTGATGTGTCTACTTCACTTGCACAGGGACAGGAGACTTTTTATCCGCTGAATAGTGGCCGCCCTGCTGCTGCTGCTCCCCCATCGCGACCATGGTCCGCGCTGTCCTTCTCAGCACCAGCACCCGTAGGTGCATTGGTGTCTCCGCGCCGAAGCCATTTGTTCCAAAACGAGTCGGGCGCAGCTAGGATGAGACGAAGCGAAGTGCTGGGTCCGGAACAGCAACAGGATCCTCATAGGACACGAAGTCTTGGTACTAATTCGGTACTTGATGAAGACCGGGACGACGACCACGACCAAGAACTCCAATCCTTTCCGCCGATGAAGCGCTTTGAATTAAAAACTATCAATGGTGTCGTCAGCGCATATACCACGGCGGACGGAGAGCCGTTGGCCCCGTGGGTTAGCGGGCTGTTTTTCACGGAGAACGGGAAGGTTCTGATCCAGCAAAGAGAGAACAAGCCACGACGAGAAAACAATGCGGAGGCCGCTCGCGCCCTGAAGCAGAAGCTGCTGGGCGATGAGACTGGACCTGGTGCAACTACCTCCACTGGGAGGGCCCACGAGGCGAAAACATCAAACCAGTCTTCTTCAGAGAAGAGAAAAGAAGAAGACAAGCTTGATTCGGGACAAATCGAATTAGATTTAGAGTCCTCGCAGGCAAAAAGAGAAACTGCTTCATATTTCTCGTCCACCACGACCCCGACGGGTAACAAACAGGTTCTCAGACAACAGAAGTCCCTCCGCAGGCCGGACGTGCGGAGAACGGATTTATTTCTCTTTCAGGACGAGGACATCAACACTGTTGCCGAGAAAAGCGGTGTCAACATTTCAGCAAGGTACGCACCGGAGGACCAACAAAGAGCAGGCTTTTCTTCGCCTGAACCACTTCCTTCGAAAGAGATTTTCGAAAAAACGGTACCAGCAACCTGCAGCTCATCATCGTCTGATCTCTACAGGGGCGATGGTCACAAGAATAAACACCCACCTTCGCATATCACGCAGAAAAAAACTGGCAGGTCATATTTGTAATGCAAAAATAAATAGACAAGAACTTGCATCGCATGCCCGAAATAGCATGCTACGAGGTCGCCCATGACAGATTTTTCCGTGTATTTATTTTTGCATTACAAATATGCCCTGCCAGCTTTTTTCTGTGGGATACCGCAACAAGAACAGGAAAAAGAAGCTGTCTTCGCTGGACTGGACGGCATGCCGCGGATCCGTTTTACCTTTGATGACGCGTGTCTGCAGCAAATGGCGGAAGCGGCTTCTTGTCGTGGGGGTGGGGCCGGTGGTCCTTCTTCTGTGATGACGTCTTTAGAAGCGAGACGGAGCATGAAATTTCTCTTGCCGACGAAGCAGGACTTCTTGTCTAGTGAGAGTCGAAATTCAATAGAACCAGGACCTGCTAGTACTTCCGCGAAGCCGGAGGGGACAAGCACAGGCAGTTCAGTTTCGCTCCTCTCCGGACATGCGACATGCAACGACCATGCCTTTGGCCGGAGTGTCGCGAAGAAGATTTGCGGCATGGGGCAGATCGTTGGGACTACGGTGCGAATGGACGATGATTTTTCTGCGAGCATCCTGAAACTCATGGATGAGTGTCCGAGTGAGCAGGCCGACGAAGGCTGCTTCTCGTGTACGTAGTCTTCAACAGGGGCGGAGCGGCGAACGGTGCGGTTTGACCATCACTTTGTAGTTCCTGTTGCAACGATACTAATGATTTTTCATCTATAACAACGAAACAAGGGCTAGGCCGCGCCCGCAACTACTACAAGAAACATGCTGGCGCGGTCACTTTACTAGCTGCTGAGCAGTCTACTTTTGGAGGTACAGAGAGTCTATGGCCTGTGATTTGTAGTACTTCTTTTTTCAACATCCTTAACGTCTTCATTTTGTACAGTTATTTGTACAGCTTTGATCAAATCTGCCGCAGGTCATGAGGGTGATTCTGTGCATGCGATTACGATTTGATTCTTGCCGCATATACTTAGTCAAGATTGTGCTTTGACCTTTTCAACCTGTAGTTCTTAGACAGTGGATCTCTACTTTGTCTCGCCTCAGAAACGTTGATGCGGGCAGTTGCATGGCTGACCACTTTTTTTGGCTATTATAGGCCGCGTGATCTTCGTATGGATTCGGCCACTGATATCTGCTTGGCGTAGAGGGAACAGTGGACGCCAATGTCGACTTTTGTTGATATCATTTTTGAAAATAGAGTTTGTACTCATGATATTCAAGGGGCGGCGCCACTGTCGATAAAATATTGCCACACGACAGGCAACTTCCATAGCTTGCAGTTGCAGCACGGATTTTCTTCTATAGGTTTTAGGGTTTTTACGTTGTGTGGTCCGAACACCGAATGCTGTGAGCAGGTAATTTTATGCTAAATGAACCAATTGCAACTGCAAGTGCAACATCGCACAAAATGACTCGCAACTGTATAGAAGATGTATCTCGAGCGCGACGCGCCAGTGACGATCGCGTGGGCTTCAGTCCCGACGAAAAATCAAGGTAGAGAACGTCAAAACGTGTCTTCATTTCACCCCAGGAGAAATTTGGTCTCGGCGACGGTGTGAAGATTTGTGATCGAACCTCGTGCTATCGTCCAATTTTTGATATGATTGTGCTTGCTTTTATTGAGAGGAGCGTCAGTTTCGAGCGAAGTCTGGTATAGCGTTTGTGGGTCAGATCGTTTTATTCGCGTCCTTTTCTTGTTTTCGTTTCTCGTCGTTCGCATCGTGCTCTGCCGACGGTTGTTAATTAATTTGTCACACCAAGCAATAAAAAACACCACGAAAATGCGCAAATTGAAATTCATCTCTAGCACGAGTAGAAGTTGTTTTGGAAGTAGGACTTCTGCCGGTTTTCCGCGCGAGGTCGCCGACCCGGCGGCATAGATATAGTAGAACCGAGAATTAGTGGGTCAGGTCCTCACGGCAACTGGACGCGGCCCAGCTGCAGCTGCATTGATACGTACAAAAGGAAAGGGATTTACTTATTTCGACGTAATAAAGTTTTACGTACTTCTTGTGAAAAGAGCTGTGTCCTCCTCACCCTTCCCCGTTGAAACAAAAACAAGAACTACAATTCTAACCTAAAAGTCCCATCCGCCCCCACTTCAAGATGGCGTGCGTTGTTGGGCCCACCGACGCCGGGATGTCGAAATTCGACAAAGGCAATATTACGAAAGTTTTCCGAGTCTGGAGCGAACGAATCGACAAGGAGCTCGAGGTACGGCGTTTTTACACATCTATGCGTCGCTTGTTGTTTATTTCTTGCGAAACGTCTCCCCTCATGATCCAGCATCCATGATAAGAAATACTTTTTAATCAAAACAGATAAATGTGTCAACCGATAGACACTTTCGCGTGGCCCACATGCCGAGCATAATGCCGCAGAAGGTAAACAACTGGGACCCAACGAAGCAAAAGCTGGAAGACCCAAAAACACTAGAAAAATCCGTGAAATTCGACTACCCACCACCACACGAAATCACGGACATCAAATATGTCGGTAGGATTTTCTTCGTTACCATGGTAGCGTTTTGGTTTTCCTTTCGCACTGAATGTATGAAGATGCTAATAATGTGCACTCAATGTGGTGCTGAGCGCTCGATTTTTTTCTGTGCCTTCATCTTCGCAAACAAAAGAACGCTCGCCATTGAATTTACAATTGGCAGATTATATATGAATCACGCCAGGTGTGCAAGCGTTTCCCCGCGAGCGGTTTGGCATTCCGCAGTCAGAGTACCACAAAATAGGGTGGATGCAGACGCCAGCGGAGTTTAGAACGAAATTCGCAGTTGATTTGCTGGACAACAAGAAGGACAAGACCACGACGTTTTCAACCGGTTTGAGCAACATGAGGGACGACTACTGGAGGACACAGCAGGTACTATTTTTGACTTGCTGCTAAGATGCCCGTTTTTTTTTTGCCTTGTTTCACCACAGCGAGCTTTTGCTTTTTTATGTTCCCGACATTGGTTGATTGATTCGAAATCGAATTCGTACATGATCCGCACGTAATAACAGCGGCCAAAAGTGAAGAACCCGATGGCGCACCACGTTGGCTACATCACTGGCCTGGGCGACAACCCCTACGAGAGAACCATCAAGCACCCGGAGAGGCTAAACCCAGTGGATCCGCTGACGCAGGAGTGGAAAGCCATGAAAAAGAAGGACCGGAAAATGAGAAAAAAGGTGGAGGAAGCCGGGTTTGAGGTGGCGCACCGGGAAAGAACGGAGAAAAAAAAGAAGAAAATGATGGATGTAGACCGGGATCTACTAGCGGACGCGGAAGTGGAAATAGCGGTATTATGATGGAGGTGGAGTTTTGCTAATGCTTTATTAGGTTTGTCTCTTTCATGCAAAAAACGCTTTAGGCTTGGCGTGGAACAATAACGAACGTTAACGTTCTGTGTTGTACAAAAGTTGAACAAAATCGACTACCAGTCCGACGCCGCGACGCCGTCCATAGTATCGTCGAACATGACTGACATGGTGAAGGCCCAAAGCCAAGAGCAAATCTTCCAGCTGAAAACCGAAAACTGCCACAACGAACTGGTATTTTTTACCATGTGGTTTTGTTGAGTAGTTGCAAAAAACTGTATAATGACAGTAGGTTCCGGATTCGCACCAGAAAAAATTGTGATGCTTCACTATACAACTTAAACCTCAACTTGAAAAACAGCTGAAGAAATACGGGAGGTGGCGGAGCATTGCGGGCAACAAAAAATGGTTCCACCCGCTTTCGAACTCCGACGTGACGCTCTTCGCGGACGAGTACACAAAGCAAATGCTCACCGGCCCGCACATGAAGACGCAGCCACTGGTCAGTCGGTAGGAAGAGAAGTCACGACGAGGACAGTGCAGGTGAGAATGTGAATGAATTTACCTAGATTATCACACTGAAGTCACACTGTTTGAATGAATTTACGCTTAGAATTGCAAAACAAGACTGTTTGAATGAATTTACGCTTATGGTCGAAGAGGTTCTAGTTGTACTCTTGAAAATATTTCGGACTCTTAATTAATCGTAAGCAAAAAACCAAACAGTTCGTTCTCGGAATCCTCAGAGACGAATCTGTAGACGAAGTTATGCCTTTCGTTAATACGCTACTACTTATCTGTATCCTGGCTAGCAAGCTAAATCTGGAGCAAATGAACCGTTTATTGGAGGTGTTGGTTGGATAAATGTACGATCGCTGAGGCCAGAAATCGCTCGGTAGTTCGCTATTGAGTTCTTTTCTGTCCCAGCTAGTGGCGTCAAAACGGCAAACATTATCGAACTGCTCGCCGAGCTTACTGTAGAAAAGAATTTGGTTCGTACGGTGCACAGGAAGGAAAAATGTTGACCCAGATGAAATTGTCATGACAGCAAGGGTGCATGTGCAACAGGCGGCTGCGCTATGTTCTCCTTTGAGAATCGCTTTCCATAGTCCTTTAGCGGTGTTTGCTAAGATCACAGAGATTTGGTGAAAATCAAAACCCCGCTGTCAACAAGATCGGTACAACAACTACGGTTGCCTTGGGCTTCATCGGTTTTCTGCAGGCAAACAACGGAGCAAATTGTCGCTTTCGTGGGCTGAAAGTTCAAGCCGCATTCTGCGCACTATCGACTTCGACAGATGAATCTTTTGCCCCGACGAGATTTTCGCTGTTCATTTGAATCCGCTCCCCACCAGCCCAGTATTCATTCACTTTTTTTTTCAACTCCTCCTTCTCCTTGTTTGTCGTCGTTGCTTTACGTTCTTACGTCATTGACATGCAGCATCGGTTTACGATGCGCACTACAACTTTTAGGCGAAGTGACAAAATCAACAGAGCGCCCCATTGACACCCCAACATGACTTCCGGCGACGTTGTTGTCCTTCCGCCTCTCGAGCCAGCCGAGGGCTGCGCGCCTGCAGTTACCGCGTCTCCACTGGCGGAGGTCGTGGACCATGACACGAAATGCATCTCAAAACCAGCCAACGCTTCGAAAGACGTTTCCCTACGATTTACGAACCTCGCTGACAAAACGCTGTTTGTTTACAAACCAAATGCACCAGGCACAACGTTTGCCAAGGCGATGGAGGCCTTTGAAAATTTCGTGCGGGAACAGGCGGAGAGTTATGAAGGGCACATTGACCGCGGTTACGTGGGCCGCTTTGTGAGCTACATGGGCTTTGGCGAGACTAAACCGTGGTCTTTGGCACCGGCCGAGTTTAACCCGTCACTGACGGATATTTGCTTTGTTGGGCAGGGGGATGCTTTTAACGACGCGGCACGCTTCTGCTTGCGGGATGTAACCGAAGTGGTGCTCGCTACGGCGCGAGCAACGGATGCGAGATTCTTTCAGGATATCTGGAACGAGGTGAGCGCCGAGGACCCGACGTCAGGCCGTCGAGATTTCCAACAGTGCGTCCCGGGCTTCCTCGCTCTCGTCTCCCACGTGCGGGTGACACAGGTGGAACTCGATCTCCATTTTAAAGTATCTCCAGCAGATATTGTATGCTTAAAACGTCCCCACCTCATACTTGTAACGCAAATCTGCATGATGCTGAAAATCAAAACGTTTCTCACGCGGAGCCGCATGAGCAGTATTTTAGTCGTATTTTGCAATTTGTGATGCTGCAATCAGTTGTGAGTGACAAGCTAGAGCTCGACCCAGCGTTATTTCTGTGATTGGCTAGTGCGGCCGCGTCGCAAAGCGAGATCAGTAAGTATGATGTTTTCCAGCTTCCACACAACACCACCTGAAAGGTAAATTCTTGAGCCTGGTCCTGCACTTGAGAAAGATCCTGCGCATGCAAATTTGCTTGACAGAAACATCAGATCCGGGGTGGGGACTACTTGCATCGTTTTTGCACGGGATAAAGCGGGCCACTGCCTCGCGTCCAAGAGGAAACGAAATTCATCACAGAACTCGGTCTTGACGAACTCTTTCTGAACCGACGCATCACGTCAAATTCCGAGCTCCAGCAAGTCCACTTCTCCCCGCGAGGGGAGACCGCGATCGCAACGCAGTACAGTGGCGCGGCGCTGAACCGCGTAGCCGAGATTTTCCGAAAGGATATGGGGTTGGATTTACGCGCGGAGGATAGCTGGAGTCTCGGGCAACGCAAGAATTCCAGTGCCGCACTGGGAAAACAGGAAATTGAACGCGTTGGGAACGACCTAAACACCTACGATGCGGCGCAAGATGGGGAGCTGATTCTAGAATTAGAATGTAAAAAGACGGGGATCGGCGCGCTGCTTTCCCACGTAGGGAGAGCGGGTCGACGGTTTGCGCGCGACGATTTGCTCCTCTTTCTGCACTGCTGGACTGAGGTCGAGTGGGACAATTCGGTCGAACCAGGGGACGTAAATTTGCAGGCGAAGCTATCGTAAGGAAAAATCCCCCCTTCCCCTATCAAAAAGGCACACCTCAGAAAATTTGCCATTCTGATTTGTGGCTACAAATCGTATCTGTCTTGCAAGAAGGCAACCCCACAGGCCCCGCAGTATTGTGTAGGCGGTTTGTGATGCTATTGGGCCTAAAGCATAGACGTTCCTCATGCTAAGCACCTAGGCCAGCACCTCTCTACTCGGGTTTGATATGTGCCTGCAGGCCTGTGCAGCAAGAGGGGCCCGACTTGTGTAAGCAAATCCAGCACCAGAAATTTCGTTTCGATATGGGGAGGGGTCATTTTTCATTGTAATAGAAGCCGCGGAGCTGAGACGGCGCCGTGCAGCTGCAGGTCCGGCAGAAATTTTTCCACGCGTTTTCCGCGAGCGTGCTTAGGGCAAAAATTCCGGAGGGACCGCTGCGGGAGGCGTTCGGTGCGTTTGACGTGTACTTTGTGCGCCAAGAAATGCAGAAGATAGAAGATACATACTGGATCGACCTGCTGACCGAGCGCAGATTTCAGAGCGAACGGGAGAAAGAGGCGGAGCACGAGAACGCTGGTTCGAAGCAACGACCCACGCGGAACATCATGAAAGAGCGCCCCGAGACCGCCAGACAACTCCGGAACAGCCTCGTCGGGTTCGTGCTCGTAACGAACGCTGCGGCCGGGTCTTCTTCCGACGGCTCACCTGGCCGCGAACTCGATCCGGAACAAGGTGGGGAAATAACTTTGGAGCAGCTCCTGGAGGAAGTGAAAGGTAACGGTCCTAGCCAGGCTCCCGCTGCTAGAAGGGACGTGAATCAAGATCATGGTGAAGATGCTCATCAAGAAGAAGTTCTCAGCGCCGGCGAGGAACAAGGCGAGGTGGAGGACATGAGGGAGTATGAAATCCAAATTCAAGTGGTGGCCAAGCCGTGGCCAGACTGGATGGACTTCGCCGCGATAGAACCCGAATTCTGATATATTCGAGAATGAAAAGTGAAGAGGTTTCGCTCTACTACTTGCACCTGAAGGATGAAAAATTAATATGAGAAGAAGTGTCGTGTTTGCGCAACTTGTTTCGATTTCGAAGCCGTAGAAAGCCAAATTAACGTCGCACTGCGGCACCCCGGCTGCTCTGGCCCTGCAGAACTTCGTGAAAACGTGGCTCTACTTCAGCAGCTAGGCACACTGCGCGCTGCTTTCTTACCTAGCTTATCCGTACCCTGTTCTAGTAAATATCCGTTGGTTTGGAGCATCAATTGTTGAGACCAGGGATCTGCTCTGCGTATGACTGTGTTCGCGTATGACTTTGATTTGCGTTAATCTCTTTCTCTCAGAAAGGTTCAGGCTCCTCAAGGGATCAGCGGTGGCTGCGGCCAATAAAAATGGAATATGATCATCGTACAAAAATCAAATCGTAAGGAACATCCGACCAAGCGCCTTGTGCTACCCTTTCTTTGGTAGTGGTACTTTTCCATTAAGTATCAACGTTTTCTAACGTTTGGACCTCGCCTATACATTTCTCAACGGGAGGAAGAAATGAACACTTCAATTTTAATAGCGACGTTGTGTGGCGATATTATTGCTCTGATTTTCCGTACTTGATTTGGTTCTTTGTTGGCTTGGATTGGCAGAGACAGAATAAATCTGCCTCAATTATGGAGATGTCGCTACCTTTACCACGGCGTGTGCGGCCCTTTAGGTGATAGGGCTGTGTATCCAAATGAACCGTGGATCTGCGACTGCGACTGTGCTCCCAACTGCGACTGCTGCTCCCAACTGCGACTGTGGTTCCAGCCTGCGACTGCGACTGCGAAGGTTCAGCTGCAGCTAAGCACCATCCAAGACCGAAAATGCCGCTTTTTTTTACAAATAGCATGAGAACAAATCCACTATACAGAACTAATATTAATATTATACACTTAATATCTCAACAAGTAAATAAATACGGATGCCCCTCGGCGCATCATTTTCGAGTAAGTGACGGAAAGGACTAGACTTATATGGAAAGGGCTAGCAGATCCCTGGTAAGCTAATGCAAGGCGGCACGACTGGACCCGCATTCGAGGCGGGGGTCGTGCCATGGAAAATTTCTTTCGAT